AACATCAGTCTGCTTTTTTTTTCTGTGTAATGTAATTGCAGTTGCCTGCCTGCCAGCCTGTGTGTCAGGCTCACAGCATATACTGTGCCCACTTGCCCAGTGCCACCACTCACTCACTGGTGTCACAATAGCTTGCATTTAAAAAAAACAAAACTTTTTTGACTGTAATATAATAGCAGTCAGTTTCCTTCACGAGTGTGCGTTTCAGGGCCTGCCCAGTGCCACCACTCACTCACTGGTGTCCCAATAGCTTGCATTTAAAAAAAACCAAAACCTTTTTTGACTGTAATATAGTAGCAGTCAGTTTCTTTCACGAGTGTGCGTTTCAGGGCCTGCCAGGGCACAGTGTCACACCAGTGCAACTCATATCTCGTGTAACAGTAGTGTACATTTAAAAAAATAAAATAAAATTTTGACTGTAATAGATTGAATAGCAGTTAGTTGTCTGCAAGCGTGTGTGTCAGGCCTACAGCGTCTACTCTGCCAACTTCTGCCACTGCACAGTGTCACTCATATCTGTTGTCACAGTAGCTTGCACGCATAGTACCACTAATCGAAAAAAAAATGACAGGCAGAGGCAGGCCACCCCGCAGGGGCCGTCGTGGTTGTGGTGCTGTGATTCCCTTTGGCCCTAGAATAATGCCCAGTGTTCAGAGGCCACGTACCCTGAACTCGAAAAGTTCTGAGGACATAGTTGACTGGCTAACACAGGACACCCAATCTTCTACAGCTTCCGCTCGGAACCTTGACGCACCATCCTCCTCCAGCTTAGCTTCGGGCACCTCTCAAGTTACCACTCGCCCGCCTGCCGCCACCACCAACACTAGCACCACAGCAGCTTCACTTGGTATGTCAGAGGAGTTATTTACACATCAGTTGGAAGAAATGAGTGATGCGCAACCATTATTGCCAGAGGATGTAGATAACAGGGATATGTCTCAGTCAGGCAGCATTACACACATGGACGTACGGTGTGATGATGATGATGTTGTACCCGCTGCTGCTTCCTTTGCTGAGTTGTCAGATACAAGTGAAGCGGTTGATGATGACGATGCGTCCGTGGATGTCACGTGAGTGCCCGCTAGAAGAGAAGAAGAACAGGGGGAAAGTTCAGATGGGGAGACAGAGAGGAGGAGGAGGAGACGAGTTGGAAGACAGCTTGCATCGGCACCTGGGGTCAGCCAGACAGCACGCCAATCAATCTGTTGCCACCACCAGAATGCCATCATTGCAGAGCTCAGCAGTGTGGCATTTTTTTGTGTGTCTGCCTCTGACAACAGCGATGCCATTTGCAACCTGTGCCAAAAGAAACTGAGTCGTGGGAAGTCCAACACCCACCTAGGTACAACTGCTTTGCGAAGGCACATGATCGCACATCACAAACGCCTATGGGATCAACACATGAGTACAAGCAGCACACAAACTCAAAGTCGCCATCCTCCTCCTGGTGCAGCATCTTCAGCCACGTTAACCACTGCTGTCCTCCTTGCCCCCTCTCAACCATCCGCCCCTCTGTCTCTCGCCTTGAGAAGTTTCTGCTCATCTGCCCACAGTCAGGTGTCTGTCAGGGACATGTTTGAGCGTAAGAAGCCAATGTCACAAAGTCATCCCCTTGCCCGGCGTCTGACAGCTGGCTTGACTGAACTCTTAGCCCGCCAGCTTTTACCATACAAGCTGGTGGAGTCTGAGGCATTCAAAAATTTTTTAGCTATTGGGACACCGCAGTGGAAGGTACCCGGCCGAAATTTCTTTGCACAAAAGGCAATCCCCAACCTGTACTCGATTGTGCATAAGGAAGTAATGGCATGTCTGGCACAGAGTGTTGGGGCAAGGGTCCATCTGACCACTGATACCTGGTCTACAAAGCATGGGCAGGGCAGGTATATCACCTACACTGCGCATTGGGTAAACCTGCTGACTGCTGCCAAGCATGGAATGCGTGGCTCTGCAGAGGAGTTGGTGACACCGCCATGACTTGCAGGCAGGCCTGCTGCCACCTCCTCTACTCCTCCTACTCCATCCTCTTCCATAACCTCCTCGGCTGAGTCCTCTTCTGCTGCTGCTTCTTGCTCCACATCAACGGCACCCCCCCTGCTCCCCAGGTACTATTCCACATCCCGGATATGGCAGTGTCACGCCGTCTTGGGGTTGACTTGCCTGAAAGCAGAGAGTCACACCGGACCAGCACTTCTGTCCGCCCTGAACGCACAGGTGGATCAGTGGCTGACTCCGCACCAACTGGAGATCGGCAAAGTGGTTTGTGACAACGGAAGAAATTTGTTGGCGGCATTGCATTTGGGCAAGTTGACACATGTGCCGTGCATGGCACATGTGTGTAATCTGATTGTAAAACGCTTTGTGCATAAGTACCCAGGCTTACAGGATGTCCTGAAGCAGGCCAGGAAGATGTGTGGCCATTTCAGGCGTTCCTACACGGCCATGGCGCACTTTTCAGATATCCAGCGGCGAAAAAACATGCCAGTGAGGCGCTTGATTTGGGACAGCCCAACACGTTGGAATTCAATACTCCTAATGTTTGACCGCCTGCTCCAACAAGAAAAAGCCGTTAACGAGTATGACCGGGGTGCTAGGACAGCCTCTGCGGAGCTGGGAATTTTTTTGCCACGTTACTGGACGCTCATGCGCAATGCCTGTAGGCTCATGCGTCCTTTTGAGGAGGTGACAAACCTAGTCAGTCACACCGAAGGCACCATCAGCGACATCATACCATTTGTTTTCTTCCTGGAGCGTGCCCTGCGAAGAGTGCTGGATCAGGCCGTAGATGAGCGTGAAGAGGAAGAGGAAGAGTTGTGGTCACCATCACCACCAGAAACAGCCTTATCAGCATCGCTTGCTGGACCTGCGGCAACGCTGGAAGAGGATTGTGAGGAAGAGGAGTCAGAGGAGGAATGTGGCTTTGAAGAGGAGGAGGAAGACCAACCACAACAGGCATCCCATGGTGCTCGTTGTCACCTATCTGGTACCCGTGGTGTTGTACGTGGCTGGGGGGGAAGAACATACCTTCAGTGAGATCACTGAGGACGAGGAACAGGACATGAGTAGCTCGGCATCCAACCTTGTGCAAATGGGGTTTTTCATACTGTCGTGCCTGTTGAGGGACCCTCGTATAAAAGGGCTGAAGGAGAACGACCTGTACTGGGTGTCCACGCTAGTAGACCCCCGGTATAAGCAGAAAGTGCCTGAAATGTTACCGAATTACGGCAAGTCGGAAAGGATGCAGCAGTTCCAAAATCAATGAAAAGTATGCTTTACACAGCGTATAAGGGTGATGTCACAGCACAACGGGAATCTAACAGGGGAAGAGGTGAAAGTAATCCTCCTCCTCCTCCCACGACCACGCCGGCAAGGACAGGACGCTTTACAGACGTGTTGTTGATGAAGGACATGCAGAGCTTTTTAAGTCCTACGCATCACCACAGCCCTTCGGGGTCAACCCTCAGAGAACGACTCAACCGACAGGTAGCAGACTACCTCGCCTTAACTGCAGATATCGACACTCTGAGGAGAGATGAACCCCTTGACTACTGGGTGTGCAGGCTTGACCTGTGGCCTGAGCCATCCCAATTTGCGATAGAACTTCTGGCCTGCCCCGCTTCAAGTGTCCTGTCAGAAAGGACCTTCAGTGCAGCAGGAGGTATTGTCACTGAGAAGAGAAGTCGCCTAGGTCAAAAAAGTCTAGATTACCTCACATTTATTAAGATGAATGAGGGATGGATCCCGAAGGGACTGACAGTGGGCGATACATTCGACTAAAAAAGGCCTGATGAGGGGGACGTAACAGAGTGTCGTGGCTGCCGGCCCGCCGCATGATATTTAAATCCCTAGCTCACCCCTGTCGTGGTTTCCTGTTCCTGGTTTCCTGAGAGTGCTGTGAATCTGATTTCCTGGTATCCTGATCTTGGCTTTTCCCTGGTTATTCTGAATTCTGGTTTCCCTGACTTGGCTTGTGTAACCGGTATTGTGTATTTTCTGGCTTCCTTGACCTCAGCTTTCCCTTTGACCATTCTCTGTCTCTAGCGTATTAGTCCGGCCATTCTAAGGTCCAGTTTATGCTCTTTCCTTTTATTTTCCGTTTCTTGCCTATGTATATGTTTTCATAGTTTCTGTGTGCTGGACCACACTAGTAGTCGTGACATTGGGATTAAACTGATAAGAATAGTACTACTTAACATACCACTCCTATCTGGTGGCACATTAGATTGCATGCGCAGTGCCCCAAATTTGAAGTAGGAGGACCGACCAAGCATCTTTTTCCATCTCCCGGTTCCTAAAATCGATGCCATATACATGTCCCCTGATAGGGGATGTAACAGGGATTAAACTGATAGGAATAGTACTACTTAACACACCTTATAATAACGCAGTGTTGTGGAAATAAGGTCTACACATATTTCCTAGTTAAAGGAAAATGTCTATTTACTCATCTCACACTATGCTATAGAGTTAAGCACACATGTTTAATCAAAATGGCTGCTAGAAGCTTCTAACCCCTTCCTCCCCCTGCCCCTTTAAACACCGACTAACTACCTCGTGCAGCAAGATGGTGCCGGGAAACCGTGGGAGACCCTCATGGACCTGGTGACATGAAATATTGACATATTTTTAGCTAGTAAAATGTTTATTTACTTCATTTAGTTATACTTAATATTATTCAATAAATTACTAAACTGACCACTAGATGTCACTCAGGAGTACCCCACCCATCGACCAAACACTCTAATTTTCAAGATGGCGCTGGAATCCGGGGGGAGAACTCCATGACGACAGTAATGACATAAGAAGGCACACCCTGTAGGACATGCTTTGAATAAAACACTTAACACTTAACCAATTATTGATGTATTATTCCATGTTATCTCTGACAATGCTTATGATGTAATTTTGCTTTAAAAGGGACCTGCCGTCCCCTCTGAATAAACTTTTCCTCAAGTTATTCAACAACCTGGAACCTGTGTCTGGTGTGAATTACTTCAGGTAGCGTGCACGCATTGTTTCATTGATTTGGCCAGGGGCAGATACACAAAGAAATAATCAATACTTTAATTGATTTTTCCATTTCAATTGGCGCCATAACGTGGGGCCCCCGGATTTGCCGGTTCGGAGGGCCGGATACCAAGGACCAGAGCGGACCCCCAGAAAATGGGACAAGCGGAGCCTGATCACCTCCATAATACAGCCGTTGCCTGTGTTATTCTCCTGTTTTGTGTCGGTCTGTCTCCGAGTCCACTTCCGGCTTCCAGAAGGCTACTAGAGACAGGTATTTAGCTCATCCGGGGTACCTTTTTAAAGTGAACCTGTCGATTGTCTATCTGCCTCCTGTATTTGTTTGAATGTGTGTGACGGCCGGAGTGTGTGTTTCCCCCCCCCCCTTTTTAAAAGACAATAGCTTGACTGCCTAGCGGGCAGGGAACGCATTTTATATGTTAGCTTGACTGCCTAGCGGGCAGGGAACGCATTTTATATGTTAGCTTGACTGCCTAGCGGGCAGGGAACGCATTACAGCTGGTGGGGCTGGGTTTTATATGTTAGCTTGACTGCCTAGCGGGCAGGGAACGCATTACAGCCGGTGGGGCTGGGTTTTATATGTTAGCTTGACTGCCTAGCGGGCAGGGAACGCATTACAGCCGGCGGGGCTGGGTTTTATATGTTAGCTTGACTGCCTAGCGGGCAGGGAACGCATTACAGCCGGTGGGGCTGGGATTTTACAGCCGGTGGGGCTGGGATTTTAAGTTTGCTTGACTGCCTAGCGGGCAGGGAACGCATTACAGCCGGTGGGGCTGGGATTTTACAGCCGGTGGGGCTGGGATTTTAAGTTAGCTTGACTGCCTAGCGGGCAGGGAACGCATTACAGCCGGTGGGGCTGGGATTTTAAGTTAGCTTGACTGCCTAGCGGGCAGGGAACGCATTACAGCCGGTGGGGCTGGGATTTTGTTTGTTTATTACTGTGCTCCCATTAGTACTTGTGTTATACTGGGACCAGCCTGGTGGGTGAAGGCTGAGGATTGCTATACTTCGATTATTTGGCACCGGTGTCAGTAACATGTACATGGCCATTTTACTCTCTGTCATTCTGTGGTTTTTTGTTTAATTGTTGTTACAGTGTGGGTACCCTTGGTGTGTGTGTGTGTGTATGTATATAGTGTGGCTAGTTCTGGATTCTGGGGTTTACACTCATCTCTATGTTTGTGATTTTTGCAAATGTCTTCTTGTTAGTGTAACCACTTTCATCTTTTCATTTGTCCTTTATCTCTCCTGTGTTTGTTGCCCAGAGCTGTGTTAGTCACCCACGCTCGCCCCCTCCGGTCTGTGGCCACCTCCCCCGGGTGCACAGACCATCGTGACTAGTCAGTCGAGCACTGTAGACTTTCCTACTTCTTCTTCCCTCTCACTTGGTCTCCTTTACTTGGCAGACCTCGCTTGGTCAAAAAGGGGCAAGAACATGCTAGACCAGCTAAGGGGTATTTGGCTTGTGATATTGTTAAAGAGAGGGCAGGGGAAGAAGCTATGCTGAAAATGAAAAAGTTAGCAAAGATTTCTGGTTTCCAAACGTATAAGTCTCTGTCCTTCTGTCTTGTTACTTTACAGCACTCACATGGTTAAT